TAAACAAACAGAAGAATGAAAAATAGTACATAAAACAAATGGAAGAATGAAAAATGTACATAAAACAAACAGAAGAATGAAAATGTACATAAAACAAACAGAAGAATGAAAAATCTGCATAAAACAAACAGAAGAATGAAAAATGGACATAAACAGAGGATTAAAAATGTACATAAAACAAACAGAAGAATGAAAAATCTTTTGTGTTGGGTTTGTACAGTTAAGCATTAGTTGTGTTGGGTTTGTACAGTTAAGTATTAGTTGTGTTGGATTTGTACAATTTTGTTAAGTATCAGTTGTGTTGTTTACAGTTTGGTTAAGTATTAGTTGTTGATTTTATTCAAGATTTCTTTGTTTTTTGTTTCTTTCTTCATATATATATATATATAATCATAATGATAGGTAAACATTTATGAGTAGAAAATTAATCATATTGAGCTTTATCTGGTATAGAAAAGTAAAGACGAAGATTGTATCTGATAACAAAGCATCGTTAAAACTTTCTGAGCAGATAGTCATTAGTTTTAGTTTAAATTAATTTTTTTATTGAACCTAAAACAATGTGCTAAAAACTGGGTATTCAGTACCTGCAATGGGCAGAACACAGCTAGTTTGTTACATAGCTGTGTGCATAACAAACATAATGTCATTGATGAAATTTGGTTGAATGGACGGCAACCGCCTGTAGAGTGTAGAGGACAACGTTTCGTCTTCAGACCTGAACAGGCAGTTGCCGTCCATTCAACCAAATTTCATTATGAATACTCTGCCTAAACGACTATCAAAGAATACATAATGTCATTATTTCAGTTACTTGGATAATTGGAAAAACTTTTAAATGGTAGAAATCAAAAACCTTCACTTTCTTGAGTTGACACTAAATTATTAAGTTGAATTGATCAAAAATAATAATGACAAATCATATTGGCAAGATTTTGATTACTGGATAGTTCAAACAATCGAAAACAGTAATTTCAATTAATTCATTTTCATAACACCAGTCAATTTACTCATAATTTTGATTACTGAATAGTTGAATAATAATTGAAAACAGAAATAATTGGAATTATTTTCATGCTATTAATAAATTATATTATACTTTTGATTAATCGATTGTTTTACATGACAGTAATCAACATAACTGATGTTCATAAGTAATTAATTACAGTGATCAGCATAGTTAGTCCTCAAGCTCTAATTGCTACTGATAATTTAAATTCTTGACTAATATATATATGTCGAAGCACAGGAGTAATGTGAAGACTGCTGTGGTTTTCTAGAATAACATATTGACTTTCATTACATGCAATCTTGTTTTATAGTACAGTTGAAAACTTTATGAGTTTGTCCACCTCTCTGTCTTTAGTAAAGTGTTTAATCACTAATGAAGATAGCAAATAACAAGTTTGGTTAGTTTTCTATTTAGTCTGGAAAAATGTAAGATAATAGATTTAATTTTGTGTTTGCTAATGATTGGATTTACTTACATATGATGAGGAAGTATATAAAAATGTAGCATGATTTGATGTTCCTGCACGGTTAGTGATTTGAAGTGTAGTTTATGTGTGTGTGATTAGCTTGTTTTCTTCCCTAACAGAGCTATGACCTCCCTAGTGACATTCTACATGCAATAGAACAGTGAGTGACCAGTACAAATGAAACAACTGTGAAACCCGACCATTCCACCCTTTACACATTTTTGTTTTGTTTTTTTTACACATGAATTCTTCTGTTATTTATTTTTGTTGCTTTGCACACACACACATCTTTATGTGTTTTGGTTTCTCAGCATGAATTTAAATTTTCTTAAAGCAGACTTAGCACATGTAACAACATTTTTAGAATGTTCAGGTATTTCATTTTTTTCAATATTAAGTGACAGTGAGATAATAGTTCCATAGTGTAACCTAATGGTGCAAGAACTATTTTAAGTGTGATG